TCGGAACAATATTTTCCCATCCCTCTGGCCACCAGTCCTCCTTCTACCCCCCAGGACCTGGAAATTCCAAATATCGCTCTAAGTCTAAATAAACCACATCTCTATTACCATGAAAACTAAAACAAGAGACTGATTTTTCCAGAATTTCAGGACTTAACTGGAGGAAAACCATGTAGCAGTTTCCTCTCTGCCTCCAATACAGACCAGCCGAGCAAACAAAGTCTTCCGCTGAGGAGATACTGATGTTGGACAGAAGACAGAACCGTTGTCTTGGTGAATTCCTGGCACCCCCAACAGTCCTGCTGAAGAAAAACAGCTACATTTGGACTTTGGGAACCTAGGGCATGAGATAGTCTAGACTTGAGGAAGCACCAATCACGAGCTGAGGATTCAGCTTCTGTGGGCCATATTAGTAGGATGCCCAGCCAGTCTCTGGGGTTTGTTTATCAGAAAGGCTGCCACAGCAGATGGGCACGTTGGCTGGCCGGGGTACCTTAGGCTCACACGCCTCTAACCAAGGGTCTTTCCCTAATAAGAAAGCCTTGGTGAGGGGGTCTCAGCTAAATCACAGTGGGTAGGGGGTTTGCCTTGCATGCAGCCGACCCAGGGTCCACTTCCTGAATCCCTTACGGTCCCCTGAGCATCTCTGGGAGTAATTCCTGAGTACAGAGCCAGGAGTGACCTCTGAGCACAGTCGGGTGTGACCCCAAAATCAAAGAAGAAAGCTTAGTGAGAATTCCTCTGTCTCTCTGTCTCTCTGTCTCTGTCTCTCTCTGTCTCTCTGTCTCTGTCTCTCTCTGTCTCTGTCTCTCTCTCTCTCTCTCTCTCTCTCTCTCTCTCTCTCTCTCGTCTCCCTCCCTCTCCTCTGTCTCTCCCTCTCTTCATAGATAGATGATAGATTGGTGTGTTGGGGTAGGTTAAAGCCACACCCGGAAGTGCTTGCTCCTGCCTCTGCACTCAGGGATTATTCCTGGTGGTGCTCAGGGGACCATACGTGTTGCCGGGGATCAAGCCCGGATCAGTCAGTCATAACAAAAAACATGCCCCTTAAACCCTGAACTATCTCCCCAGCCCTGCCTGCTCTGAAATATCACAAAGAGTTTGCCCCTCGTTAACTTATTCTGCATCTACACTGTGTGGCTTGGGATTCGAGTGGAGTGCCCTTCTCCCTGGGAAAACCCGCACTTGGGCTCCTGAGTGCGTGCTCTTGTTTTGCTGGACAAAGCTCCTTGTTCTTCAGCACGCTCTGATCCTCAGCATAGACCAGTCCCCACTACCTCTTTCTTTTCTTTTCAACACTTAGTTTCTGGGACTCGAGCTGGAATCTTTCCCCCGGGATCAAGTGTCCCCAGCTCAGTGTCTGCAGGGTCACCCCAAGGAGGCTCTCCCCGTGACACCAGGCTTCCCTGTGACTCCCGGGGAAGGGCTGATCCTCAAAGCAGCCGGAGAGGGGGCAGAAGGCTCAGGGAACACAGGCACAGTGCAAGGGAGGGGCAGGGGAGTGGCACCGGGCAGTCTGGCTCCTTTCATTGGTCCTTTAAAACCTCAGACACACACACACACACACATACACACACACACACACACACACACACACACACACACACACACAGCGGCCAGTCAAAACCGATGGTGAAATGGTTGTGGGTGAGATACAGTCCCATACAAGATCAAGTCCCTGGACAGGCAGTTTCCTCTTCCCACGCTTCTGTCCAATGAGTGGCAGCATCACTGCCCGCTCCCCTGTGCTCTGGCAGGAAGTAGCAGTTCTCACCCACACAGCACCCATGGGACTGGGGAACAGAGATGCACCTGGAGAGGCGGGAGGGTTGTCTCTGGGGCTTGGGGCTCTGCGAGGGGCCCACAATATTCAGGGACAGACAACAGAGCAGCAAGTCCCAGTCACGGACACAGATGATAAGCTGCCCAGCTGCAGCCCTCAGGCCTCAAGCCTACCTAGGCAGAGAGCTGGAGGGACAGGACCAGCTCATGTGACCCTGGAGACAAGTGGGCGGAAAGGAACAAGGCTTCAGTACACGGGGCTGAGGACTGCAAATGGAAGGAAAAGTGATGTCATGCTCAGGTGAAAAGAAAGACCAGCCCTGGACATGTGGGAGGGAGCAAGAATCACTGATGGGACCAGAGAGATAGTACAGCGGGTAGGGCAGTTGCTTTGTAGGCGCTGACCTGGGGTTCAGTCCTGAGCATCCCCTATGGTCCTCCAAGCACCACCAGGAGTGATTCCTGAGTGCAGAGCCAGGAGTAAGCCCTGAGCGTCGCTGGGTGTGACCCAAAAAACCAAAATAAATACATAAATAAATAAAGACATAAATAAGCAAAATAAACAAGTATGGCTGCAACTTTACAATAAACTAACCTCACAAATATCTGTAGGTTTGTCACACAAATGCCCCGAGGATCCACGTACTCAGGAGCGGTGCCACTGGGGTGCTGATGGGGGCAAGAGGAAGAAGGGCGTGGGAACTGCCAGAGAGGGCAATCCTGACTGTCCACTGTCCGGGGAGCTTGAGGACACTTCAAAGGGGGGCACGGGGTCACCTGGACCTGTTAATTACCCAACGTGCATGATCTCTCTGGAGCACAGTGGGAATAAAAGAGGCCATAAACCAGCCAGTGGTTCCATGGCGGAGATGAGAAACCGGGCACTTGAGAAGGCCACACTCGGCTCTCAGGCCAAAGACCATGACACTGCCCCACCCCCCTCCCCAGCCCCCTTCCCTGCCACTTCAGCTAGGGTGAAGTGTTTCTCTTTGAGTGGTTGGAGACCATCTTTGGGCATAAAATGGATGAGAATGAATCAAAAGCTAAAAATATTTCACTAAGACACTGGTAGAATTAATTAGCTTCCCTTTTCCTTTCTAGTTCGGGTACATTTGACTGTCTTTGGTTTTTGAAATCATGTATTGATTAGTAGCTGAGGGATAGTGCAGGGTTAAGTATTCTGCACGCAGCCAGCACCAGTCTCAGGCACCGCCCTGGTCTCCTGAGCACTGTCAGGAGTGATTCCCTAAGCAGAATCAGGCGTAAATTCTGATCAGAAGTCGCCTAATGTGACTTAAACTCATCCCCACCCTCCAAGTAAAGGAAGTCTAACAAGCTCCCATTGGATGCTCCCCAGTTCCTCCGATTCCCCGGAAGGCCCTTCTACTACATGCTCACACAGTTCCTTACAATAGCGATCTTCAATTCTTGGAGAAACTGTGATCTAACTCTTCCAAGAGACAGAGTTAAACCTTTCCCTCCTTCTGGGTTCCAGTCTTGTTTTTAAAGTAAATTCTGTATATTAATTTTGATTTTTGTTATTAATTTTTCACTTAGAACTCCAAGAAGGCCCAGCGTACAGTAGGCTTTCAATAATTGCACATTGAGTTAAAACAAAAACAAAAGCCTCTTGAATTGTCTAAGTAATATTTTGGCACAAATAGGTAAAAATGCTGGGGAGAAAAGGTAGAGTCTTGGGCTGGAGCCATAGTACAGTGGGCAGGGAGCTTGACTTGTACGTGGCTGACCTGGGTTTGATCCCAGGCATTCCATACGGTCCAGAGGGCACCACCAGGAGTAATTTCTGAGTCCAGAGCCAGGAGTAATTCCTAGGCATTGTCAGGTGTGGTCCCCAAACAAGAATGAAACAAACAAAAATATGGTAGAGTCTCCAGTGCGTGTATGTGTCTGTCTGTCTGTGTCTGTGTCTGTGTCTGTGTTTGTGTTGTGTGTGTGTAATTTGGTCAACTGGGTCACGGGTTCCCTGAGAGGGAGCTTGAGGGCCTTCAGGAGCGCCCTCTTGGGCGCGTGCCAGGCTAGTGCCCCCAACCTCTATACTATCTCCTGGTCCCCCAGTCTCAATTCTCCACAGGATCGGAATACTTCACCCTGCTGCCAGGGAGATTAGCTCCAAGACGGAAAAACCGCGTATTGCACGACTGTGACCCCCAAACCCCAAACAGGAATACCCTCCCCACTTCTGCAAAGACTGTATGAAGTCACTTTGCAGAGCTTTGGAGGGGTGAGGTGATGCTAATCACACACAACGCAAGATCTAGGGAAGAGCTTCTAGAATAGTCCAGGTTACATGCATGACCACGAGCACCCATTTCCTGGATGAGTACCATCTCCTGGTCAGCCGGGCTTTCCTGGAAAGGCTTTGCCCTGCGCTGTGCTGCCGTCAAAGGTGATAAGAGACACATCCGAGTGGGTCTCTGAACCGCGTGCACCGGCGCCTGCGTTTCTGACACGTTTGGCAAAGAGGTCCAGCTCCGGGCTCCCGACCCAGCCACAGAGCCCGGCCTGGACACCAGCAGCCCGGGCCGGGGCCCAGCCTTGAGCGGCCCGCAGGACCTTCTCCTTGGCTTTGCAAGGTCCCACGTCCACGACCAAGCGGAGCTGGGGGACTGGCCATCCCCTGGGGAGGAGGATCTTCGCTGGGCCAGATGTCCTGGGTCTAAAAGTGGGGTGATAGAAAGAAGGTGGGCGACCCCGCGGGCCTGGGCGCCCCTGGGGGCCCAGGGGCGCGGCCGATCCTGGGCAGGAGGCCAGTCCGGGCACGGAGCCGGGTTGACTCAGTGCCCACCCCCCACCACCACCGTTCGCCGGGTACTGAGCGCGCCGTGGTGCTGGGTGCCTCAGTCGCCCGGGCGCCCCGAGCGGCCGGCGGGCGGCAGGTCGCCCGAAAGCAGTGATGTCATGCGCTCCGCAGGGCCACTTTAATTACCGCGGGCGGGAGCGGGGGAGGAGGCCGGGCGGGGACCCGCTCGGCGCATGACCAGCCCCGGGGATGCGGGAGGCGCCAGGCAGGACGACCATTGGCTGCGTCGGCCGCCGAGCCGCTCGGGTGCCGCGCCCGGAGCCGCGGGGCGCCTGGAAACGCGCATCCCGCGCGCATCCCGCGCCCTCGCCCCGCACGCGCGCGCACGCCCCCCGCGGCGGCCCGGCCCGGGCGCCCCCCGCGCTGCCGTCACCCCCGCCCGGGCCGAGCCGCCGGGGCCGCGGGCTCGCGGGGACCATGGGGCGCGCCGGGCCCCGCGCCGGGCCCCGCTGCTGAAGGCGCCCGAGCCGCCCCGCGCCGCGCCCCTGTGCGGGGGCCCGCGGCGCCCGGCGACATGTGGGTGAACCCCGAGGAGGTGCTGCTGGCCAACGCGCTGTGGGTGACCGAGCGCGCCAACCCCTACTTCATCCTGCAGCGGAGGAAGGGGCACGCGGGCGACGGCGGCGGCGGCGGGGGGCTGGCGGGTAAGCTTGGGGTGGGGTGGGGTGGGGTGCGGGGGTCGGCCGGGCGCGCCTTTGTCCCCCACCCTGCGGGGCCCGCGGGGCCCGGGCGCGCGGGGGGCGCGCTCCGCCCTGGGCAATAGCACGAAGGTGCCCAGGTACCCCCCGAACCCCCCTGCAGTAGCCTCCAGGGACGGGCGAGCGGGTGGAGGTGCGTTTTCACTTGTTTTTTGTTTTTTTCCCACCCGCCTTTGGCCAGGACTGGGCAGGACCAGGTCTAAAAACGCTCTTTTGTTACCCAGGGACGCGCCGGGCCGAGGCTGGCGCGGACGTTTCCTTGGTTAGTTATGACCTAAGAGACGGGAATAAGGAACAAAGAAGCGTGCTGGCGGCGGCGCTGGGTGCTGCGAGATGGAAGCCCGGAGTCGGGTACCTGGGTGGACCCGGATTCGCCGCCTCCTGCGTCCTCTGCGCGGCCGGCTGGCACGCCGGCCTTCCCCGCGCCGGGCGCCTTGCCGAATAAAGCCAGGCGGTGGGCTCCGTGGCTGCCGTGTGGGTCGGTGGGTGGCAGGTGAGGGGGTCTTGGACCTCCCCGGAGCGCCTTCCTGCGGGGAGAAAAGTTGCAGTAGGAGAGGCCAAGGCCGGGATGAGCCCGCAGAGGTGGGGTGGGGGACAGGCGCCCACCGCTGCCGAGTTCGAAAGTGCCCTGCGGGCCACCAGAAATCCTTGGTGCCCGGTGGCAAGGTTGCCTGTTCGCTATGTGGTGATTTATCATGGAGTTTTCTCAACTCCATGTTCAGGGGTCACGTGGCCCGGCCTATCCTGATTTGAAGGTCTTGCTGCTGAATTCATTGGAGGATGTCCAATTTCCTGCAGTTTTCTTCCCTAACATACAGACGACTCTGCAGAACTCCAGATCGTGTTCTGGGAATTCTTGTGTGTGTGTGTGTGTGGGGGGGAGGGGGGGTTGTTTGCTTGTTTGCCACATCTGAGGTTGTACAGGGGCTTCTCCTGGGTGTGCTCAGGGAACATGGGAGTATCCCGGACCCTGTCAGTAGGTCCAGCCCCTTGTGCTACCTCCCTGGCTCTCATTCTGGAAAATCATCAGAATGTTCTGGTTCATTTTGTAGAAGTTGCCTGGCTCTGTATACTAATATGCAACTTGCCTGTCTGATATTCAGGTTAGCCCAGAGCATCCGTCCTTAAGTACCAAACAGCCTTGTAGAAGATGGAGTTTACTGTATCTTTCGGCAATGAGCATTTCCTGCCTAGTCATCTGCCCTAGGTAATGACACATCCGGAGATGCAGAGCCTTCTCTGTTGGTTTTTGTTTGGGGAGTGGAGTGGAGGGGCAGACCTGGCAGTGCTCAGGGCTTACTCCTGGTTCTGTGCTCAGGGACATCTCCCTGGAAGAGTTCAGGGGACTGTATGGGGTTCCAGGAATCGAACTCAGGCCAGCCGCCTGCAAGTCAAGTGCTTTGCCCACTGGTCCCGATCTTCTTAGCTGTTTAACATTTCACTGTGTTCTTACTAAGTCAGTTCCACTTGGAATCTCACTGTAGACCCATTATTTCCCACAGATGTTCTTTGGAGGGAATGGGGGTTTGTGCTTGAGTTTTTGGTGTTTTTGAGTTTTGGTTTTGGGTCACACTTGGTGATGCTCAGGGCTTGCTTCTGATTCTGCACTCAGGAATTACTCTTGGCAGTGTCTGGGGGACCCTATGGGATGCCGGGAATCAAACCTGGGTTGGTTGCACGCAAGGCAGATACCCTACCCACAGTACTATTGCTCTACCCCTCCCTCTCCCTTTTTTCCCTGGTTTTGGGGCCACACTAGGCAACCCAAGAATCACTCCTGGCAGTGTTGGGGGACCATGTGAGGTGCAGGGATTGAACCCAGGTCAGCCGCATCGAGGCAAGCGCCCTACCTACTGTGCTATCTCTCGATGCTTCTTTAATGGAGTAACAGTAGTTTTTGCGCATAGCACTGGAATCGCTGACATGGGTACGTGAGTTAAATCTTCCTGCCCACAAAGGCTATTTTCAACCAGCAGACGGAACGCGCGCCCTGACTTCGACCACGTCCAGCACAACAGGCGCAGTTTAGAAATCTGCGCCTTGGCGTGGTATTTGGAGTGGGACTGTGAACTTCTCCACGCGCCCAGGAACTCCCAAAAAAGCCCATAAACAGGCGGTGGCAGCTCGCAGGGTGCAGGGTCCTGAGGTCCGCCGCCGAGGGGGAAGAGACAGATGTTGGTAAAATAATCCTGTCAGTGGAGCTGGCACTGCCGCTCGCAGGGAGAGTCCCAGCAGAAGGCAGAGTCCGGCCTCGCTGCCGGGAAGCAGAGATGAGCAGAAAGAAAGATAGCTCGGGAAGATGGAGGCAGAAAGCAGCCCAGAGCCCCAGGGAGGCTCAGCCGAGCCACAAACCTAGCGCAAAGCAGATGCGGCTCAAGCCAGAGCCACTGGGGCTGCAGACAGACAGCCGGACCCAGGCACGGAGTAGGCCGGGGACTGGGAGCACATGCCCGTCTGCTTTCTGCGGGGTGTCCTGCTGCCCTGGTCAGCCTCCCAGAGGTGCAGGCTGGCGGTGGAAGGCCAGTGCTCAGATCAAAAGGAGTGGAGCTGGGCATTGAGGGGAGAAAGGTCGGCCACCATGTGAGGGCCCAGGACAGCAAGGGTCAGGGACTGACTGGCCGTGGCCCACCTGGCACCTGAGCACCTGAATGTCCTGTGGTGCTTGGGAGAGGTGTACAGAAAGCGGGCATCAGTGGGCCACAGAGAGAAGCCCGTGGGCACGTCTGTGTGTGTTTTGGCAGTTCTCTGGCGTGTAGAGCTTGTGCTCTCACTTTTTGAGGGGTGGGAGAGACAATGATAGACTTTGTGCAGGGCTGGAGCAATAGCACAGCAGGTAGGGCATTTGCCTTGCACGTGACCGACCCGAGTTCGATTCCCAGCATCCCATATGGTCCCCTGAGCACCACCAGGGGTAATTCCTGAGTGCAGAGCCAGGAGTTAGCCCTGAGCATCACCGGGTGTGACCCCCCCAAAAATAGACCTTGTGCTCAGGGCTTTCTCTGGGTTCTGCGCAGGGATGAGTCCCGATGTGCCTCGTGCTGGCCCTCTGTGGTGCTGGGGATCAAGCCTGGGCTGGGCATATGCAGGGCAAGTGCCCTGACCTCTGTAAGTCTCTTCACCCCTCCCCCACCAAGAAGCTTTATACCATGAGATTGAACTTGATCGCGCTCACTTTGGTTTAAAATGGAACCAGAGGCCAGCTGCACAATGCTAGGGGAAAAGGCAGCTCAGATAGAGAAGGGAGCACCAAATAAAGGGTACTGGGAGGTTCCTCTCAGGGTGGGAGAGCCTAATGAGAGTAGACTATAGACCGAACTTGATTGCTACTCAATATCTCTTTTGAAAACCACAGCACCCAAAAGGAGAGAGAGAACAAAGGAGAGAGAGAACACAGAGGCAGGGTGGGATGGGGGGATGGAGGGTGACAGGGATACTGGGATTAGTGGTGGTGGAGAATGGGCACTGGTGGAGGGATGGGTACTCGATCATTGTATAACTGAAACCCAAGCACAAAAATTTGTAAGTCTACAACTGTACCTCATGGTGTTTCATGAATAAAAATTTAAGGGAAAAAAAATGGAACCAGGGAATCTGGTCTCTTCTCGACTCTCGGCCTGTACAAGTATGTGCGCAGTGAGGATTGTTGCCACACAGCGGGCCTCTTCATTTGACATTTAGGGGCTGCACCCAGGAATGCTCGGTGGCTACTCCTGGCTCATTGCTCAGGGGCCCCCCAGGAGGTGCTGGGAGCCCTGGCTCCAGCGCTTGAGGCATTTTCCTGGCCTTTTAACCCTCTCTGAGAGTTCAAGAGTGCCCAAAAGAGATATGGGAGTGGAATGATGTTTCCAGTTACCAGCACTGGGATAAACCAGCCTCGCCAATGCCCCAGGCCCTCTGGGTCCCTTTCCCAGACCCTGCCTCCTCCCCCGGGGTACAAAACAATCCTGGTGCTGTTTGGTGAACATCTGGCGGCTTTCCTTGATCTCTCCTCCCCTGTCTCCCCCCCCCCCCAAAAGATCTTATCTGCAAACACAGTATTTGGGTTTTGCCCTTTTTAAATTTTATTATTGATTAATTGGATGATTGCTTTTTGGGTCACACCTGGCAGCGAATCTCAGGGGTCACTCCCCTAGCTCTGCACTCAGGAATTGCATCTTGACAGTGCTCCGGGGACCAGGTGGGATGCCAGGGACCGAGCCCCACGCAGCCATTGACTACATGCAAGGCAAACACCCTCCCCGCTATACTATCACTCTGTGTCATGCCCTTAAAAAAAATAAAAATAAGAATTTGAAATGAGGGATGAATCTTAAGGGTATGTTATCACCAGTGTCTGGCCTGAGATTTCGTCAGCTTGGCTCTGGGCTGCGGCCGGTTCGTTCTCCTGTGAGTCTCACACAGCCCCGAGTCTGCTCTTGACCCAGTGCTGGGTCACCAGATGATTCAGCGGGCGGCATCCGGGCAAGGTAGCTGTGCTCATTCACACAAATAATTCTTGCTGCCTTTGGTCATGCATTTTTCTTTGGTCCATACCCAGGAGAGGGCTTGCTTGCTCAGAGCTTAGCTATTTCATCAAATGTAGTAGATAAGATTGAGCTGTTTCCCAAAGTACAGGAAGCCCCTGAATGTCGGGAGTTGGGGGTTCTTTCCTGTCTCCCCTTTGCTGCAGTTAACTGCTCCCTTGGTGCTTCTTTTGTCCAAATAAACAAAACGCAAAGTGAGGTTTGGCTTCCAGGGACAAGAGGTGAAGAGCACAGGTAGCACTGAGCCTTGGTTGCTGCACTTGGTGGGGTGCGTGGGCACCCCCCCCCCAATCCTTCACGCAGACAGGTTGGTGGGCAATGCAGTCCTGCCTTGCAGAGGCTAGAGTTGGTGTTCAGTGTACATTTGTCTTGCTTGTTCCCGGTTCAATTCCCTGGACCACCTGGTCTCCTGAGCACCACCAG